CAGCGTCTATCAAGACGGTGATTGCCGTAGCCAGTGAAAAGGGCAAGAAACTCGCTCACTGGGATGTGAAGCAAGCGTACATTCACGCTAAGCTAAAAGACGAACTATACCTTAGGTTCCCGGGAGGCTGTGGTAGTATGTCCGGCAAGGTGGTCAACGTTGAGAGTGCTCTGTATGGCCTAAAGCAGAGTGGCCGTGAGTGGGGGTTTGAAGCTGCCGATGCCCTCATCGAGGATGGATACGAGCAGTACAGGGTTGACCCGTGTGTCTTCCGGAAGGTGGTGGATGGAGAGGTCGTAGGTCTCATCGTGATCTACGTTGATGACATCTTAGTGGCGGCAGACGAGGGAGGGCGAGAGGAGTTGTTCGCTTCCCTCAACAAGAAGTCTCCGGTGAAAGATCTGGGGGAGTGTACCTTGTACGACGGGTGTGCTATCGCCATGGATGTAGAAAATGGCATCACCAAGCTGTCCCAGACAGCATACATTGAGAGTATGCTGAAGCGGTTTGATGTGACCACGACCGCTTTCACCCCTGCTGCCACCGATGCCGACCTAGGGCCGAAGAGAGATGACGAGCCCGCGGTGGATAAGCCTGTGAGGGAGGCGATCGGATGCCTGATGTGGACGAAGCTGACGAGGCCAGACATCGCCCTGCCTCTGAACAAGCTCCAGAAGATCGCCCACTCACCCACGGGGATGATATGGAACGCGCTTGTGCGGATCATGTCCTACCTGAACTTCACGAAGGACTTCGGCATCACCTACGTACGGGGGTTAGGACTAGACCTAAGCGTATTTGTCTATGCCAGCTACGCTGACAACGAAGTAGACAGGCGTTCTACGACCGGGCTAGCTGTGACCGTAGGTGGTACCGTAGTGTGTGCATCCACCAAGACGCAGCCAGTGACGGCTCAGTCGACTTTGGAAGCAGAGCATATGGCAGCCGGGAAGGGCGTGAAGGAGGCGGTGTTTGTGCGTGGCGTTCTGCCGTTCCATTTCATTCGCGAGCTATTCAAGTCGGGCAAGATCACTGCAGAGTATGTTCCGACTGGAGAGCAGCACGCCGACATGCTGACCAAGGTCCTTGGCAGAGAGAAGTTAGAGTACCACCGGAAGGCTCTGATGAACCTACCGATGTAGTGTTCTCTTGTTCTGTTTGGTTTTTGTGGTGGTTTTCGCACTTGGCATATATGACCATGGTAAGTCACGCAGGAAGCGTTGTGCCGGCGCGTCACCCGCGGCTGGAGCCTCGAAACGCCGACAGCGTTGCTTCGGGTGTGAATCAGCGTGACCGGTTCAATCTGTCCTGCCTTGGTCTTGTCTTGGAAGTGCGGCCGTTGGAATTCTTCGTGATAGCGACGGTTTTCAATATTAAGGGTGTTTGACGAGGGTTTTCGACCCGGTTGGCCGGGTTTTCCCTCGAGCCTGTTGTTGTTTTGAGCCCCTTTGGTAGATCAGGGGTATCCATGCCCCACGTTAGGTTTGCCATTCGCGTGCAAACCGGGGAGGGTGTTCGTGTGTTTGGATACGGACTGGTTAGATCGACCGGCAACAACAGAGGGCACGCACATGGGCATATGTACACCTTGAAATGGTTGCATGTGTGGGGACCCCTCGAACTCCAAGGAGAGCTTCCCTTCTCCCTACTCCCCTTGCGTGTCTACTGCAAGAGAAAAAGCGTCTTCCCCTTCCAAAGGACATAGTCTATACGAACACGCCGCACACCGTGGAGTACTTCACATTACTAACCGGTTGCAGCATGTTTCGGGGAAATCCTGTCACTCCCACCGATGTGCACGCCTCCATGCACCACACAATGTGCTCGGGGGTGTGCTCGACGCAAAACATAGAAGTCGGTGACAAAAAAGAGCGTATCAATACCACAGCTCCCCCACGAAAACGACTGTAACTGGCTGACACTCACCGTGATTGAAATGAAAGGAGTGCATCTTGCGCGGTTCCATAGCTCACTCACTACACCCACGATTGAATATGCGGCGCCAGTCCCACATAAGGCAACCAGTTGCAATCGGAGGTTTTTCCTGGCCGTTTCGTAGAAAGCTACGGAGCCAGTCCGTACCTGCCATGAAATGGTGCAGAACGGTGCCCCGCATGCGATGAAGGTCTGGTCGCACGGGGCCTGTAGACACAGCGTACCCTGGTCTAAAAAGCTGAAATATTAAGCTTCGATATTACTTGAGTTTCCGGCTACTACCGGAATGAGCATGTAGTTATCAATCAAGAGGAGGTCAAGGTAGGCACAACGAGGGTAGCCCATTCTCCCCCTCCCGAGTGGTTGGTTGGAGTTGCTGGAGCAGAGCAACAGATGACATTCAGCCGGGGATATATCTATCGGGGGAAGGGAGTGTGCCAACGGAAGGGAGAACGGGCCACCACAAGCCTCACGTGCGTTCGAAAAACATGCATTGTACTTGCAGCGGGTTAGGACATCGGCACTCTTCTGTCGGTCAGGACTGTTCAAACAAGGTCGGTTCATGGCCCGGAGCGCTGCTATAGCGGAAGGCGTGTTCGTGTGTCTGGATACGAGCATGGTAGATCTGCTAGCAGCACGGGGGG